ACTGAAGGCAATTTCCCAGAATTGTCATCTTTCCACTATTTCTACGGTAGAGCTTTATATAAATCGGTTGCAAGATTTTGTGGTTGTTGCTTTCCTTCTCGTGGGAGCCATTTTTCACCCTTCACAACCAAAAAAACCACCCAAACCCTTTAAATAAACAAATGACTAAGCCAAGCTGAGTTCCCAACCTTTGCAGCTTTTTCCGGGGAAACCTTTTTTTGCAACGCCTTTTAGCAGGAAAGATTTTACCTTAAAAAAAATCAGGTTTCCTGAATAGCTTAGAAAAGGGTTATGAATAGAAATGGATGCATATCCCTGCATAGCTATCACACCAGATAATCCTGCTTTTTGTTATAATAAGCATGCACTTTCAGGGGTCAGGGGTGGAAGAAATTTGTTTCCACCCTTTTATAAATACAGGCAATGCATCCCACAAATATTGACCTCATGCAAGACACTCTAAAAAGGCAGTTTGCATGTAACAACCTTTCCTGCAGAGCAAAAGTGATGGAGTGAGGTGATGGAGAAGGAATGGCATATTGGCAACTGGAGAGATGAAGAAGGGCAGACTGCAATTTTACATGGTAACTAAGAGGATCTGTAGCCTCTGAAGTGCAATTTAAACTCAAATCCGTTGAGATTAGATGTACTAGGCTCCGAGCATGCCATTAAAGAGCTGAAATTGTGTATGAAAGTCCCTTGTATTATTATTCCTGGCATCAAAATAGAGATTTACAGTGTTTCAGAAACAGTGACTGACAAAACTAGCTAGTTAGAAGCTGCAAATGCATCCTTATTTTTCTCCAAAACCACCAGGGATTTAACAATCCTAAAGATGAGGATGTAAGTGATTACAGGACTGCACCTTACAGATGTTTAAAAAGCCAGTTTGCTGTTTCAACACTGCCCTTAGGCATGGCTCACTGAAAGGACTTCAGTAGTTTGGGAGCCATTTTTGCAGCCAAGGAGCTGAATATTTGGGATCCACCCTTTAAATGCTGTTAGGATTATGATATTCCTTCCCTCAAGGGATGTGACAAGTACTTCAGACAGCAATGATAAGTGTGTTTCTCTTTCTTTCTTCCTGTTTAAGGGTGATATATTCTAAAAACTGACAATTCTGAGAAATGTAATACACACAAAAATGTATTTACAAATGCAAAAGCCAGCACCACTTACAGAGTTCACCCAAATGCTCTCAGCTGCCCAAAGGAACAGCAAAATGAAGATATTAATAAGTTTTGTTTACTTGAATTTTCTAGATGCAATTTTGTTCAAAACATACATCTAAGACAACCTCGTGTCATCTAAAAGCAGAAGAATTTTAGTGCCAAAGCTGGTCCATGACCTTAAATTAGATTGCTTGCCCTTGCAGCCCAATGACAGTGTAAGTCTGTTTGATGGTAGTTTGACTTTACACACACTTAGGAAAAATAAATTAAAAGGAATAAATCTTTGTTGCATGTCTTTGTACACAAAGGCTTTGAAGCTGAACTCCCACATGGTGTGAGGACAACGAGCAGCATTTGATTATCAGGGATTTTAAAGAAGAACAGCTTTTCAGGACTGATTTAAAAAAATGTAAAATAAAAATTTCAACAAGTCGTGGTGCTTTCAGCCTGCCAGGAGACTGATTGTGGGGCAGGATTAGTGAGGTATTATTGAATCGTGCCACTCACAGGCTGCTCCCAGAGACAATAAGAACAAAACCCGTGTAATAGTGCCTCTTCCATGAGTGTCACATGCAGAACCATCTGCACGGGGCATTTCACCCAAACCAAGGAACCAGCTCATATCCTACTCTTTCCAGCACTGATTAACTGATTTGTAATTCCTGGAACTTTCCAAGTGGTCTTGAACAAGAGGTTTCTACTCCCCAGAAAGAGACTGCAATTAGAGAAGGATCTAGAACTGCAATTACAAGAAATCTGAAAGATCCTTCTGTTTAAAAACTCAGCTGTTTCTTTACCCAGTGAAACAATTAGTTCTGCAAGTGAACACAAAGGGGTTTAAACCACTTTTAAATGCAATGTTCTTGCTTTGTTAAAAGGCAACAATAGCATTTTGAAGAAAAAATATCAATCAGAAGAGACTTGCAAAAGTCAAAAAGGTTCATTAAGGTCCTTCCATTCTGTTTAGGCTCTTTAGAAGTATTCAGTCATTATGAAATTAGTGCTTCTGGCTGCCAAAAGACTTGCTGAAGGTTGTGCTGCTGAATCCCAGCCCAGTTGGCACCCAAGCAGTGGATATGAAAACTGCAACAGCAATTTGGGTTATAGGGACATCTGGCAGGGAGCTGCAAGAATGATTAGGGACCTGAGAAGAAAATCAGTCCCAAAGGGAAGCAAGTGGATGTAAATAGAATAGACAGCATGATTATTTTGAAGCATTTTAGAAGCTTATAACTTTTTTTAAACAGAATTAGAGGGAAAATACAATATCCAGATACAAGGAATCAGATTGTGATGGTGATAGTGAGGAGGGAACTTAAGAGAAGGTGGGGCTTTATTTGTTTTTATTAGGAGGGTTTGTGCCCAGAGGGGTTTGAGAGACTCTCAGTGGCACAATTGCTATGTGTGAATTTAGCTAGCTACCTCCAGGTGTAAAGCAGGACCTGACACCACTAACTCAAGTTCATAAAGTGATAATATTAATAAATACTTTGCAGGGAATTTTTCTTTAATAAATGCTCAGAGGCCTTTTTGTTTGTTTCTCCCTAATAACAGCAACACAATTGCAGAGCTTCCAGAGAGCTGCACATTCACTGGAAGATCATTGAATCTCCCAGGACAGAGCAGAGTTCCCAGTGACACCAGTAACAGTGTACAGGAATTGTGTGGGTTCCATCTGCAGGGATCTCCTTGTTCCAAAAAGAGTTCCTGAGAGTGCCCTGGCCATCTGCCCAGGTTGTGCAACTGCTCTCCTGTATTTTTATCTCCAGCTGATGGACTTGTCTCAGGCTTGTTTGGATAGTGGAAAGGTTGTGTAGGAATTTTCACACGGAAGAAGGGACAGGAAAGGAGAACATTTTCATTGTGATAACCTCCAGGCACTCTGGTTCTCACAGTGTTTCTAGCACTCAGATGTTCATCCTCTTGGAGATGGGGAGGTATAGGAAAAGGAGGAAGAGTTTGAATTCACCTTGACTTCCCTTTGTCTTCAGCTGCCAAATATGCAGAGAGTCATTATCAGAAAAGAAAAATTTGTTTGCCTCCGCTGAGACTCCAGCAATGATATGACTTCAGGGGCAAAGGCACTGTCATGATGCATCACAACCCTGCAGGCATTAAAGTGTCTCATGCAGCTGCTCAGCCAGAAAAGATACTCAGATTGTTGAAGTCCTTTCAACACGCTGAGCCCAAGGCAATATTTTAGTAAGAAACTGCTTCTTTAAAAATTAAAAGGAGTTATTTTTGCATCATTTGCATCATTTGACTTGGGTCATTTAAAATATATTCTGTTATAGGTCACCTGTGTTGCCAGAAAAAAATGAACTTGTAACTGATTCTATTCAGATTAATTCCTTTAAAAGACACCCAGGTTTATTGCCCAATTCCTTACACAGACACTCTCAAAGACCATGGAATGATGAGGGTTGCTTCTATTTTAGCACTGACAGATGATTTGCACCCTGCACGCATTTCCCTAAGTGTATCAACAGTGACCAACAATGACTCCAGACTTTGTCAAGGATTTCAGCCCGGCTGAAATGACACTAAATTAGCAAGAGGAAATTCTGTTCATCTGTTTAGTGTTGCTGTATCAAACTCAGCCTGGCCTTTGTGTGCCAAATGATGACCTAAAAGTGAAGGTACAGGCGAAAGTTTCATCCGTTGCTCATGCTGGAGTGTAAGATCTCAGTGATGTTAAACCTGCTTCATTTTTCCCATTTGACTGTGACAGAGAGAGCCAGTGCTAGTGAAGACATCTGGGAGTGACATGTCACAGGACATCCTGTCCCAAATGGAGAGGCTGGATGGGAAGAGGAAAGAGGCAGAACCTCTTCTGGCGGTGCCAGAGATGCTTCTTGCACCTGTGCTTTTCCAAAGTGAGTTTGTACAAAAAGCATAAGAGAGAGACTGAAATATTGGTTCTTGCCCCTCTGTGCCACAAAATGCTGCACAAGGCACAGTTTTATGCCACCATTACAAAAAAAATTATTTTTACTTTCTCTAATCTTACAGAGGTAAATACTGAACCCATAAACTGACACATGCTCAGCCAGTACTGGTGCACCACTTCCTGCTATTTAATCCAAGTGCCTTTACCTTCTCTTTTAGGACTGTATTTCATATCACATGATCCCCTAAAGACTCCCTCCTCTTACATTCCTGTTCCACACACATATTTAGGAATACATGACATTATGGAGAATTTCACCAGGAGCACATGACAGCAGTAACACTTCCTTCCCTTCACAAGACCCAGCACCTCTGATACACTCTAGAATCACATTTAATTGTTTATTTCTCATCCAGCACAGGATGGTCAGTGCTCATCCCATAACCTGCTCTACACTTTGTTTGTCATCAAAGGAATTGTTGGGATGGACAAATAAATATTATCACTGAAACCTTCAAAAAGAGGTAAGAGTTGACCATTCCATTCTGCTGATATTGCCAGGAAGTGCCGTGAATGGTGGAAGGCAAAGAGGAATCAGTTACACTGTGCAAGTATAAAACCTAGCAGTGTTTTATGTCAAGAAAAAAAAGAAAGTAAGAAAACAGTCCTTGGAACTACTGCAGAAGGAAACAGAGCACCTGAGACAAGGGGAAATATGTGGCTCTTAATTCAACACAAATATTGGAAAGAAATCTTTCTCTTTTTTGAACAGTGAAATTTTTTCAGAGGTAGCAACAGACTATCTTGAAGATTCTTATCTATTTTAATCAGATTTCTTTTAGCACCTGCCGAGATCTCTCAGAGCTCAGGATTGGCTTAAACACACATGAAAAGGGCCCTGTGGCACCTATTCCTTGACAACAATCTGTTCTTCTCACCTCATAGAGTGTAATGATGCCATTTGTCTCATTTGGAGGTTTCCACTGAATGTAGATCTTCTCTTCAAAAGGTCCTCCTTGGATAGATTCCAAGGGAACTGGTCCAGGAACTGCAGGGGAAAAAAAACAAACAAAAACCCAAAAAACTGTGTTAAAAGCGTCACCAGCTCCAGCTGCACACACATGAGACACTCAAAAGGCCATCCGACAGGAAGCTGAGTGTTAAAAATAAATAAATAAAATTAAAAATTAAAATCCCTCAAGGCACTACCATTACCAAGCTACTATCAATGTGAAAGGCTTATTTTTCAACTTTTGGTTCAAATAACAACACCCTAATGTAACCACTAAGTGACAAATAAAATCAGAATCCATGAAAATATGACGTTAATTTCAGTATGAGTTTATTCCAGTACAGCAGAGCAGCAGCAGGGAATTTAATTTGTCCTTCTCCACCCACATAACAACAAAACTCTCCACTAAATAGCCAGACTGCACCTTGGCATGGAGATGCCCCAGGGCTGCACACCTTTATCAATAGGAGAGATTAATTTGCTTAGTAAAGTAACAATGCAGGATTTATATTTCATTACAACTATGAGGCCAGCTCAAAAATCCACCCACTCCACAAAATATTAATGCCATGGGAGATAACCAACTAAATGCACTCCCAAGCCTGTCTGATAAAAACCCTGCTCATTTTTCTGAAATATCTGCCATCCTTTTGTGTCTCCCCATGTGATATATGGGGCTGGAAGAGCCATTTTCAGCTAAGAGAAACTGAGGACAGCAACTTCTACAGTCCAGGCAGAGGAATTTAGTCCTTGGTCTGAAACAGCTCAGGTGGGATAACAATGCTTTGAAGCTTCCCACCAATTCCTCTAGAAAACTGATTTTTTTATATCCACAGCCATTCTTTTATATACATAATTAATTTTGCTTCTGAGATCTCTATAAAATGTAATGTCCAGAAAATCACTATTAAGAAAAGCTACACTCTGGAAAGGAGGAAATATACTTTTTTTTGGGATGCCTTCTTTTGTGTGAAGGCACAAGAAAAATCAATAAATACCAGGACTGCGTTTGCCCATAAAATAAAGGAAGCTGCTGGGTGGTTCAGAACACAAAGAATTAAACCTACAGCTCTTGAACAGCTGCTCAGACTGGTGTCTGTCACGCCCAAGAATTTTAGGGACCTTTGTCCCTTCAAGAACATGGCTGTGAAATGGAAATCATTAAAACCTACAAATTGCACACTCCAAACAGATACACTGTCCAGAGAAGCTGCACCAGTCTTGTGAGACAGAGGGTTATGCTGTTATTTACAATGAAAGATGAGTATTCCCTCAAAACCCAACCAACCAACCCCACCACAACTCACCATCCTCCTCAGTCTGCACCACCAGCTCCTCGCTTTCCATTTTGCCCTCGGGGTTGGAAAGAGCCAACCTCAGCCTGATGGTCATGAAGGGCCGGAGCCCGCGCAGGGTGTAGTGGGAAGAAGTTTGGATGAGCTCCTCTGCCTCGAATTTCTGCTGGTTGAAGACGTACTGGTAGTGCACGGTGAGGTTGTAGCTGTGGCAGCGCGTGACGGCGTAGCCGAAGGGCTCCCACTGCAGCGTCAGCTGCCGCGAGCGGATGTCAACCACCTCCACGTTCTGCGGCCCGTGCACGGGGTCTGAAACACAAACACAATTTGATATTTGCTGGGGACCAGGAGGAGAAACACCAACACAATTTGGTATTTGCTGGGGACCAGGAGGACAAACACCAACACAATTTGATATTGAAACAAGGCAGCCATCCGTGAACGCGCTTCCTTCTGGGTGTGGAGCGTCTCAACGCTGCACAGTTCTGGGGTCTGTACAATGTACAAAGGGATAGGGAAATGCACACCGGGTCCACAACTGCACTCTGGCTCCTGAGCATGGACACACTGTTGGAGATCTGGGAAAATTACAGCCAGGGAAATCATTCCCAGGTTGGGGTTTCTCCTGGTTCTCTCACAGATCCGTTCCCAAGCTGATAACGTGTTCAGCTCTGGTAGGGAGTCTTTCCCAGGATGATGGTTTTGTCAAAATAGAATGGAATTAATAACAGAGATTTGCACCTGGTGCTGACCGTGGGACCTGCTCTGAAGTATGGTCCCAGAGGCATTTATCCAGCTATCCAATGAGCTACTGTCTTGTCTAAGTTCATCTGAAAACCCTATAAAAGAGGAATCATGTTCTCAATAAAAGGTCTTCCTTTCCCCAAGGAAGTCCGTGTTGCTTTAGCTCAGTAGCGACACCTGAGTTTGGCTTGGAAATTTCCTGTTACAAGGCCCTGAACAGTGGTCATGCTCCTGATTCCTGTGAAACCTCACTGAATCCAACAGAGGCAACAGGATTCCATCAGGTAAGGGGTGGGGAAAGTGGGCTTTAATTTAATATACTTATAATTTAAAAAATTATAGTAGCTGATGGTCTACTTGTCCGTGCTTAATGACCTTGGTGAGTCCAGCCCTAAGTGATGCAAACACACAGGAAAAGGTCCCTGGGGAAGGAATGAATTCAAGTCTCTCAGCTTTGAACTCAGCTCCACGGCCCCTACACCCTCCTGCCACCCCCAAACACATTCTGCTCACACTGAAGCCCCAGAGTGAAAGAATCAAGTCTAAAGGATCAGCTGCTGCATGTCCAACATCCCAGTGTCCCCTCATGTGTTAAACTGCTGCATGTTCTGGCAGTTGGGTGTGCAGGCACATCCTGCCACTCCTGACTAAGTTTTCTGAGTCATCTCAACCTGGTGCCAATAAAACTTTAATTTCAGATCATCTCCACGCCTTGGTCCCATCAAAGTTTCTTTGCTCTTTATTATTCTTTCTACAGTATCTGGCTGAGATACACTTTGAATATTCATGTGGAGGAATCATTTTCACCTGCTGTTCCTTAATTTATTTTTAACAGCCTAACTCAAATGCTCTGACTACACTCTGCCCTTTATATAAAATATAAATGCATGTGCCACTAGACATGTAGATATAAAGAATGAAGGATGACTGAGTAAAATCAGTGTTTGAGATAAGTCAGACCATAAAAATTCTACTGATGTCAGAGTTTGTTTATCTGACATTTTTTCAAGTTGTATTTGCTCTTTTGCTCAATATATATTTGAACAAGGTAATCAGAAAATACATAATTTCATGTAAAGTTTCTTAATTTCTAGCACAATTCAGGGTTCTTCCCACTTCTCATAGTCTCTCACCACTTCAGCCTATGAAAAAAATGTTTTCATGGGAACAAAAAAGTTGGAAGGACTCCTGAATACCAGTCACACTTCTTTGAGAGATAATTAAAGTGGGAAAAAATCCTTCTAGTAATTCTTTAAAGTAGAGCACGCACCAGCCACCCTGCCTCCAATCTACTCATGCATAAGCAGAAAATACATTTTAACAACCTGAATATTCTGTATTACTGCTAAAAATCCCCTAAGGACTGGCAATGGGAAAGTATTCTGCATCTTTTTATAGATACACACATGTGTAGACACTTTGGAAATGGGATGGATATGAAAAGACCAGGGGTCTAAAGCTAGCTAATGGTTTAGGTTTTCCTATAAATCGTGTCATTCCCTCAACATGCAGAAAACAACTCTTAAAAGTGAGTCTTTAACTCTGTGTGTCAAACAAACAAACAAAGAGATTAATTTAGAAATCAGGTAATTTTTATGCATTAATATACACATATATACTTAGCATGAGATGCTAAGCATTAGTTTTCCATAAATCTCTGAAATTTATGTTTCTGCAGATGAATTGTACAGATAAATTAGGTAAACAAAAGAATGGTTCTCTGAAAATATTCAGCTTCTGAAAGAGTAAAGGTAACCCCAAGCCTCATTCCAAGATGCATCCAAAGGAAAAAAAAAGAAAAAGTAAATGTAGATATTTGCCCTACTGAATTCTGCATAACACCAAGCACTCAACTGCAGAGCCCAACTCAGAACGTGGCTGAGACAAGGCAAAAACATTTCATAGAAATGCAGTAAGACAGCTGAAAATGGCAATTCACCACCATGCTAATGTTATACTGCCTTTATTTTATTTTTTAATTACAATTATTGGCTTTAAAACAGTCATGTTATGGTGTGAATCAGCAACCAGAGGGTGTCTGGTTAATGGATGTCAGATGTGCTGACTGTACCCGTGAGTAACAACCTGATCATCACCTCACCAAGTCATCTGCCCAAAGCTGGGTTAGGGAAGATTTCCTGCAGTTTTTAGTTTCCTTTCTCATCCTGCCCACATTTGCACTTTCCTTTCCTATCCATAACTCTAAGTGCTAGAAGCTTCTCACAACCAGCTTCCAATTCTGCTCAAAGCTTTGCAGTCAGTGCTGTTGGCTCCACCACACACAGAGTCTGAAACAGTCTCTGCACCCAGTGAGCAGCCTGGGAACCACAGGTGAGTTTGGGTACAAAGCAAGAAGGTAAAACCCATAAGGCACAACCCCACTACACCACATTTTAACAAAGAACCACCTGTTCTCAGGCTGACAGTCCTAAACCAAGCCTCAAAAACCCATGTCCTGAGGTGTCCCTGGCTGCAAGTGTAGAGATTGACATCTGCTGGCCATCTAGATTTTTAAGCAGAGAGAGAATAAGTAAGCAAAAACTACTTAAATTTTATGTTCAGAGAGGAAGAAACCAAACTGGAATTAAATTAACAAATAGAAGCTGGCCTCAGAAAGCTTTATATTCTCTCTAGTTTTCTTCCCTTGGTTTCAATCTTCTTTTTTTGAATACTGAGACTATATAATTTTGAAAATGTTTTCTAGTTGCCACACTGATTTCCTCCACAGCAGAAGCCATTGAAACCTCCTTTTCCAGGATGAGATTTCGTATGGTTGTTTTTAAAGGGCACTGGTCCTACTGTCCTCTCTGTATAATTCCTTCTGCCTGTTAGCTCTGGGAGTATTCAGTCTCAGAAGATCTGTAGCACCAATCCTAGGACCTGTCTAACATCACCTTTTTCATAATGTTTTCTTCCAAAAATTAAGGTAAATTTATAATTCATGTACAGTTCTCTGGTAGTGCTGCTATTTGAAACTGGACAAACTTCTCCATTTCTGTATTCTTGGATAACTTCTAAATAATGCAAGAAAATATCTGAAAAGTAGTAACTTTGCACTTGGTTAGTGGAATAAAAGCTGCTAATATGTATCTCAGCTTCAACTATAAAAAGATACTTAACAAAGCAAGATAGAACTAATTTGAATACTTAAGAAATCAGATACTGGTGTAAACTGTGTACCCTTAAGTAAAATTTTCTGCGTCCTGAGACCTTGGGGGAAAAAAAAAACCAAAAAACAAAGCAAATTCTTAAGAAGCTTAAACAATGAAACAGCTTCCTCAGATCTACTGAAACGAGTCTTGAACCCACGCAAGGAAAATTGCAGTCTCTGGGATTTCACTGTGCAAATGCTGGATTCTTATTTCAGCCTGGTTGAACCATTAATTACATTTTGAACGTTCACATCAAAGTCAAGGACTGAATAGTGGTTTTTAATACCTCATCACCCACTGATGCTTTGCTACCTTTCATTACTCTGGTGGGCTGCAGCAAACACTCAGCAGGCAGGAACCTTTCTGGAATCCTTGGGATGTGCAAGTCTGGAGCTCAAGTCCTATGAGGAATGGCTGGGGGAGCTGGGAAGGGGCTCAGCCTGGAGAAAAGGAGGCTCAGGGGGGACCTTGTGGCTCTGCACAACTCCCTGACAGGAGGGGACAGCCGGGGGATCAGGCTCTGGGAACAGGGACAGGAGGAGAGGGAACAGCCTCACTTGTGCCAGAGGATGTTCAGATTGGATATGAGGAAAAATTCTTCACAGGAGGATGATCAGGTGTTGGAACAGGCTGCCCAAGGAACTTCTGGAGTCACAATCCTTGGAGAGATTTAAAACACATGTAGGTGTAGAGCACTTGGGGATGTGGTTTAATAGGGGGCTTGGCAGTGCTGGGTCAACACTTGGACTTGATCTTTAAGGGCTTTCCAACCTAAATAATTTGATGATTCTAAGTGGCCTGAATGAAACAAACTCCAGGGGTCCTTCAGTGGAATCAGTGTTCTCAGTCCAGGTAAAAAGACATTGTTGAGCAAACAATGTCCAGAGACTGCTTTTTCTGCCACCAGAATTGCACAGAAAAGCTGACTTTTAAGGCCAGTTTTGCTCATTCCTTCTTGAGTGTCACGGAGCTCATTTTGTTCTCTGCCATCCTCTTGCTCAAGGTGAGGTGCAGAAAAGAAAAGGTTGGTTTAGATTATCAATAACAATTGTCACAGCTCTGTAACCCTCCATCAGGGGAAGAACAGAGAGGAATGGAAGCCGTGGGGAGACACTGGGGTTTGAACACAGAGCTCAAGTGGAGGAGTGAAGTTAAACACACACGATCAGCTGCTGCCCCCGGGTTAAGTACCTGCTGCAGGAGCCTAATTGCAAGAAATTGCTGCTGTCAGTAAAGACATGACAGCCAGTGGAGATGTCCCTCCTCATCTGGGGCCCTGTGCCCGTGTCCCCTGACCCTGTGGAGAGCAGGAGGCAGAGTTTATTAGCAGTGCACTGATTAAATTCTGTTTCCCAGCAGCAGGTTACGGAGACTGAGAATGCACAAAGGGAAGAAAAAGGAGCGTGGCATGAG